CGACAAGAAGCCCGAAACCGACAAACCCGGAAAGCCCAAACCCGAAACCGACAAATCCGTCAAACCCAAAAAACCCCACAGCAACAAAACCACACCCAAACCAGACCTCGCCACCACCTCCTCCAACCGCCACCTCACCGCCGCCGAGATCCAACGCCAGAAACTCAAAAAACTAATGAGCGAGCTCAACGACGAGGCCGCCGACGGCGGCGGCCGCTCGGCCCCCATCGTCAAGCTCGGCGACGCCTCCATGGCTTCCCCCTTCACCGCCAAGCACGCCTCCGTGGGCCCCACCACTGACATAATCCGCCAGGGCCGCAGCACCCTCGTCACCACCCTCCAGATGTTCAAAATCCTCGGCCTCAACTGCCTCGCCACTGCCTACGTCCTCAGCGTCATGTACCTCGACGGAGTCAAACTCGGAGACATCCAAGCCACCATCAGCGGCGTCTTCACGGCCGCTTTCTTCCTCTTCATCTCGCATGCCTCTCCTCTACCGCGCCTCTCTCCCCAACGGCCCCACCCGAACATCTTCTGCTACTATGTGTTTCTGTCTCTTCTCGGACAGTTTTCTGTTCATATTTTATTCCTTGTGTACTCGGTGAAAGAGGCGGGAAAGTATATGCCGGATGAGTGTATCGAGCCCGACTCGGAGTTTCATCCGAATCTGGTTAATACTGTGTCGTATATGGTTGGGATGATGCTTCAGGTGGCGACTTTTGCTGTGAATTATATGGGGCATCCTTTTAACCAGAGTATTAGGCAGAATAGGCCGTTTTTGTACGCGCTTGTTGGGGCTGTGGTTTTCTTTACTGTGATTACGTCGGATTTGTTTAGGGACTTGAATGATTGGCTGAAGCTGGTGCCTTTGCCGACCGAGCTGAGGAATAAGCTGTTGTTGTGGGCTTTTATGACGTTTGTGGTTTGCTATGCGTGGGAGAAGTTTCTGAGGTGGGCTTTTCCGGGTAGGATGCCGGCGTGGAGGAAGAAGCAGCGGGCTGCTGCGGCTACTGAGGGAAAGA